CAGAGAAAATAGCTGATGTGAATTGACCGCCATTTTCGCTCACCAGAGTCTCTGCTGGACAGGCCGCGCAGGACATTGATGGTAGCTCCGATGGTTGCACGTTCCATTGGGAATATTTCTGGCCATTTTGTGTCGGCGTCAACCACGACGAGCGGTAAAATCAACGTGACCATGGGGCTACCGGTTTTGACCAATGCTGGAGCTGGGTCTTGACAGATGCCTGGGCTGTTTGGACACATTTGAAGCAAGAGCGTCCAAGCTGTTCGATGTGCTGGTCCATGTTAAGCGTGTTCGTCCACCATTGATATAGATTCTCGATGGCGTTAAAACTGTTGTAGGGCTCGGGACATGTTCGTCGGCTAGTGTCTGCGATGATAGTGAGCGACTTTTTGCAAAAATAGGATCCTCTGGTTTCCCGTTATACTTCAGTTAAGGTGGCAGGTGGTGTTCGTATTGTGTCCGTCATTTGGGTTCGCGTATCTGATTCCACCGACACAGACATGATGATCGTGCGTGAGTCTGCTGATATCGTGGGTCAATGAGGCGCCAAGGAGCATCTGCGTGGCCGATTTTTGGCTCAGGTTACATGCCGGCACCCCATAGAGCGAAATTTATGCAATCAAAAATGTTACTTATAAGTAGGATAACTAGTAATACAGCAGGGAACAGGCATATTAAGAACACAAAATTATTTACTCAACAATAAATCATTTTTCACAATGATAAAGTTGTTTTATATGTCCTATATAAGTATCAATATCGTTTGTAAAAGTATGTATGCAAAAGTGAAACCACATTTGGTACTGGGTCTCGTCCAGATGTTCCCAAATAACATCTCCCACAGATCCTGTGACGTTTAATCAGACCTCCGAAACCGAAGCTTGCGAGCCTACCAACTAGCCGGCACCCACAGGTCGTGGGTTAATCACACAGCCCACAGAAATGCAGTGGTTAATCGAGTGGGGGAGATAAATGGTTTTTGGAGATGAAACTGGCCGAGAAAGTGAAACTGAAGCCAAAGAAGTGCTACGGGTATGTCCAGTCAAAGGGTTCTACCATAGACGAGTTGGGACCACTGGTACATGAGGAAGATAGGGTTTCAAGTGAAAACCAGAGTAAAGCTGATGAATTATGCGCTTACCTGAGGAGCGTGCAAAGGTTAGACACTGGTTAGTCAAGTGCTTCCCAGCCCTCGGTAACAGACGTAGTGCAGGAACTACGGGTAACGGTCGATTAATTATCTGAGGTACTAGGCGGTCTTTAGGTATCCAAGGCTCCGGGAACGGACGGATCAGGCCGATTGCTGATATAATCTCGGGGCCAATTTTCAGCCTTTTAAAGGAATCAGTATCTGAAGGAAGCTTTTCGTCCGAGTGAAGAGCAGCTTCTATAGTACCGTACACAAGGGCGGTGAGAGGACAGATGTAAAGAACTATCGATCTGTTAGCTTAACTAGCGTGCTATCCAAGGTACTAGAGAAGATAGTTAGAACGCACCTAGTAAAGCATCTGGAGTGGAACATACTCATGTCAGAGGCACAGCATGGTTTCGTCAAGCAACGTTCATGCCTAACAAACCTGTTGTGCTTTTTGGAGGATGTTACTGCAAAGATAGATGAGGGTGAAACCGTAGAGGTTTGCTACCTGGATTTCAGCAAGGCTTTTGATTCAGTAAATCATCGCCTGTTGTTGACAAAGTTAGAGCGATTCGGAATCCAAGGACAGGTGGGCAAGTGCCTTTCTCTCACAACGATCATTCTATGTGACGGTTGGTGAGACAAGGTCAACACTAGTTCAGCAGACTAGCGGAGTTCCACTAGGGCTTCTATTTCCGCTTCTATTTCTTCTTCTATAAATCACTTGCCAAGCACTCTGATATCATCGTGCTACATTTTTGCAGATGACGTCACAGTGGTTGATTCGAATGGGAGAAGTGATCTGGAGCGGGATTTAGAACAGGTAGCTAGATGGGCAAAGGAATGGGACCTAAGTCTTTACGAAACGAACAGTCGTGTGCTCACTGTGCATTTGACGGACTGAAAGTTCACTCGGAATAGTGCGGTGGAAAAGATACTACATATACGAATAATAATGAAATAAACGGTACAAGGAACGGACTCAGAAGGATTGTCCGGTTGGTTGATTATTCCTGTTCTTCAGATATGTGGCTTCGGTCGATGAGGTGCAGTGGATCTGAAATAAATGGCTGCGACAGTTAACTGACCGCTTGACGATAACTGATAATGATTGAGTAATGCTTCAGCAACACTCGGAGAACACGTGCGAAGTTACGAACAGAATTTGTATTGTGTCGTAGGTGTTGTGTATATTAAAACAAGCTGTACAATCATGTCAGATAAAAGAGGATAGAAAAGTAAGACACTACAGCACCCCCCTCTTAGAATGAAATCCAAACTGTATACTCGATTAAGATGAGAGTAAAAGCTAATGTTAAAGAAAACGAGCAGGAAAGTGTACTCTTCTGCCAAGACGTGTTGTACGTGGAACGGTTAGAGGTGTTAATACGCGTGGAGAAGGTGCGGTTGGAGAAGTGTGTGTTGTGTCTGATGAGTGACTTGGCGTGGGTGATGTATCGGAGATAACTGGTGAAGGAACAACATGTGGAGATTTTGCGATGGGTAAATCGAAAGATGAATCGAGATACGCGGGTTTTAAACGATCGATGCTTATCGAGTCATGCGTTCCCTTGCGATCCAAAAGAAAAAATATATCCGAACGAGAAATTACTCTGTATGGTCCGGTGTATGGTGCTTGGAGTAATCGATGGAGAAATAGGGAGTGATGGTGGGGCTTGAAGTAAACCACCGAGTAGACAAAGGGTAGTTCCGTAAACCAAATCTGCCGCCGTACATCCAAGGTCTTCTTTGATGACAGATGATAGTAGGGTGAGTGGAAGACGTTCAGTCCAGCGAGGATCTTCGTGAGCGCGAAGTGAGGCTTTGAGTTGTTGGTGAAAACGTTCAACTAAGCCGTTTGCTGCGGGATGTTAAGCGGTAGTGCTAATGTGTTCGCAACCAAAGAGGCGCATGAAATCACGGAAGAATGCAGATTGAAATTGAGCGCCTCTGTCAGTGGTTACAGCCTGCGGAGCGCCTTAATGAGAAATCCAGTGTGTTAGGTAATGTTGTGCGACGGACTCAGAGGAAATGTTTGCCAGGGGAACGGCCACAGGCCAACGTGTGAAACGGTCGACACATGTTAACAGATAGGTACCACCATGTGAAGTGGGAAGTGGGCCAACAAGGTCAGTGTGAACATAAGAAAAACAAATGTCTGGGACGGGGAAATGACCTGGGAAAGAAAGAGTGGCGGTGAACCTTATTTCGTTGGCACTGTAAACAATATTTCGCCCAATGTCGGACGTCTTTGTTCATATTAGGCCAAATGTAACAATCGGCAATGAGGCGTAGAGTAGAACGGACGCTGGGGTGTGGAAATGAATGAGAATGCGTAAAAATGGGTTGACGCATACTATACGGTAAAATGGGCCGAGGGTATCCGCAGGAAGTATCACAGAAAATGATGGATGGTGAATGTGGAAGAGGAACTTGCGTTTAACGTAGTGAGGTGAATTTGAGTAGGTCCCCTAAATGAGGGTCACTGGACTGATGTTGATAAATGGTCTCAAAGCTGATATCGGATGGCGTAGCCATACTGTTGATGTTCAGCCGAGAGAGAGCGTCTGCGACGGTAATGTCCGATCCGTTGATGTGTCGGATATCGGTGGAAATTTGGGAGATGCAGTCCAGGTGACGAATTTCGCGCGGAGAGTAGCGATCAGAACGTGCACGGAAAACATTCATGATGAAAATTGACGACCTTAGAGGAGGTGGCGAAAATGTCGTATGGCAAGGTATATTGCCAGA